CAGACGCTGCTGCTCCCGTCGATGCCTTCTCCAGCAAACTCCCGCCACGAGGGTTTCGGTAATTACGGGAAGAAAGGTAGGGTTTCTTTTTTTTTTATCAATATTATTTTATTTTGATTAAATAAAGTTATATTAATTAAATATTTAAATTAATAATAATAATTAATATCCATTACTTATAAACTAGTATTATATAAAGGGAAGAGAAAAACAAACTGGGTTGCGATAAGGTGGTGCCCTAGCCGCCTTGTTCTCCGTCCCTTGTTCTTGCCGTTCGTCACCGTTCTTCCGGCCTCCGGCTTTCGCCGGAAGGCTGGTTTGCTTGTACTTGCATGGAGGCGTTGTCATCTCTTTCTTTCCCTCCTCTAAACCCTCTCGCATCTTCAAAAACTACTGCTCCTTCGGCGTTGGAGCGTCTCTGGTCTTCTATTGCTGCATATCCAGAACCGACTTTGGATTCTCTTCCTGTTTCACTCATCGAGACACCGGAGGAGATTGTTCCCTTCAACAAAGAGTACACTACGACTGCGGCCTTGGAATGGAAGTTATCGCTGGTTGGTTACTCAGTTGGTAAGCGACCTTACTATGAAGCTTTACTTTCTACTGCTAAGAGGATCTGGAAACTCAAAGGTACATTTCAGCTAATTGCTTTAAGCGACGGTTTCTTCCTCTTTAAATTTTCTAATGCCGAGGACTATGAAATGGTTTGGAGTAAGGGAGCTTGGTTTTTTCATGGAAAATCTTTTGTTTTCCAAAAATGGTCAAAAGATTTTCAACCTACTCGCGAAAATTTTTCCACGGTTCCGATTTGGATCAGGATTATTGATTTGCCTCTGGTTTGCTGGAATTCGGAAGGTATTTCGAAAATAGCCTCTAAAATTGGCACTCCACTATCTGTGGATGCGCTTACTGCTGCCAAAACTAGGTTGACATATGCAAGGGTGTGTGTTCAAGTTGCCACTACTTCTGATTTCCCTGAATCGGTGCCCATATCCATTGAAGATGTTGTTTATCATCTTAAAATCCAGTATGAATGGAAACCTAATCCATGTGCAACTTGCAAATCGATGGCTCATACTACCTCTTTTTGCCCTTCCAATCCTAAACCACCACAACAAGAAACACAACCTCCTCGTGGTCGAAGTACCTCCAGGACTCATAGGAGACAAAATTCCTCCCAGAGGCCTTCATCACAAAACCGCTCTTCTGGAACAGCTAGACAAAATTCCTCCAATACAGTTCCCACTACAGCTCTGGCCTCTTCCTCACTTGGAATTGTCCCTTCACAAGTTACCTTTCCTACCGCACAGGCTTCTGATACTCGGAATTTGCCGGATATAGATACAAGGATTGTGACTGCCTCCTCTTCTGGTATCATTGCTCCTATGGATATCCCGGCACTTTCTATTCCTGTTAATCCTCCCAGCATAATAATTCCTAACCTAAATTCTCCAACTGAAGAATGTAATGGTATTTTGGAGCAGGTTTCTACCAGTTCATTCAATAACCCCCCAATACCCACAAAAAATCAGTTTGATTCTCTTCTGAATTGTGAAGAGCAAGGTTCTAGGGAGGAGGTAGATCTCTCCACTCAAGATGTTCCTACAGTTGCGGATGAAACAAATGTGAAATCCTCTTCAAAGACCACATCTAACCCTTTACCCAAATCCACCAGGGGTAAAGGAGCTAAGAAGCCTCCCACACCTAAATCAAAATCCAAATGACCAGCCCATCCATTGGAGCGTGGAACATTAGAGGATTTTGTTCCTCTGATAAAGTATTACTTTGCAAAAATCTTGTCCAATCTCTTCGGTTGGATATGCTCTGTATTCTTGAAAACATAATTCAACTTTCTTCTTTATCGGATCCCTTCTTCTTTAACTCCCATCTGGTGTTTGATTTTGAAGATAGCTGCAATAATTTCCATTGTGCCAATCCTGGGCGGATCTGGGTGAAGTGGGACACTGGTAGGATTACCTTTAATCCTCTGTTTATTTCAAGTCAATTGGTTGCTGGTATGGTTTACTATGGGAATAATGCTCCTTTTTTGCTTGCTGTGGTGTATGCCTCTAATAGTTTGGAGGATAGGAAGGTTCTTTGGGAGGAGATTAGAAATATTCGTCCCAGCCAGGGGACACCGTGGATTACAATGGGTGATTTCAATTGCTGTCGGTATCCATCTGATAAATTGGGGGGGAATGTGCTACACCAAAATCAACTGTTTGATTTTAACTCCCTTATTTTTTATACTAATCTGTTTGATTTAGCTTCTGTGGGATATACATATACTTGGTACAACCAAAGATCGGTGAATCCTATACATATCAAGCTCGACCGTATGCTGGTTAATGGGGACTGGTTGGCTACTTATCCTAAGTCTCACTATGTTATTAAATCTCCTGCTGGTTCTGATCACAGTCCTATTGTGCTCCTGCCGGGTTTTGTTGTTGATTTTCAGCATCGGTTTCTTTTTAAGAATTTTTGGTTAAAATCCCAACGCTTTTGGTATTTGCTATTGGCTAATGTTTCTGTGAAGCCTAAGGGGCAACCTTTTGCTGCTTTATGTGCTATGCTTAAGCAACTTAAAACCGATATTAAGAAGGAATCCTGGGCTTCCTCTAAGCCTCTAGCTTCTCACATTGATTCCCTTTACAGGGAACAAAGGGATTGTCTTAACTCATTAAATCAGGGTTGTGATATTGAGAGCATTTCCAAATCTCTTAAAACTATTAATGTGCAGTTAGCTGAAGCTTCTTCCACTTGGTACTCTTGGGTTGCTCAACGGGCAAAATCTAAATGGCTTTCTAGAGGGGAAGATGATCTCAAATTCCTATATTCTAAGATTCATCTTAGGAGAAATTATAGGAGTGCTGCCATTTCACTTGCTATGTCTCATTTGGATGTCTCTTATGATGATGTTATCAAGAACACTATTTCCCACTTTCAAAGGATTTACAACCCTCATAGGAGGAATTCCTTTGACATTCTTCACTTCCCGGTGGGTAAAATCATTCCTCCTGAATTTATATTATCACTTACTACTCCATTTACTGATGCAGAAATTAAGAAGGCTGTTTTTGCTGGTGCTTCCAATTCTTCTCCTGGTCCGGATGGCTTTAATTCTGAATTCTTCAAATCCACTTGGATTGTTTCTGGACCTTTACTTTGCAAAGCTGTGAAGTCCTTTTATCACAATGCCTATATTCCAAAATCTGCTAAGGCTACTGCCATCACTTTGATTCCTAAATAAAATCATGCGGAAGAGATCTCCGACTTCAGGCCTATTTCATTGTGCAATACGGTTTACAAAATAATTGCAAAAATTCTAGCTCTTAGAATGAAACCTATTATGCCTCTGATTATTAAAGAAAACCAATCTGGTTTTATTCAAAATCGGGTCTCCACTGATAATGTTATTCTTGCCAACGAGATACTTTTTCACTCAAGAAAATTCTCTCAATTTAAGATGTTTTGTGCTAAATTGGATATCAAAAAGGCTTTTGACTGTGTTTCCAGGGAGTTTCTTCTTGCTAGAATGCATCAAAAGGGGTTTCCCCCCTCCTTTATCAACTGGATCAATGCTTGTATCAATGATGTTTGGTTCTCGGTGTGTTTTGATGGAGCCTTGCATGATTTTTTTCCTTCTTCCGCTGGTTTGAGGCAGGGATGCCCGTTAAGTCCCTACCTATTTTGCATTGTGATGGATGCTTTTTCGTGCCTTCTGGACAAAGACAACGCTTTTATTGCTCCTATGGTGGACGGGATTAGGCTTTCTCATTTGATGTATGCGGATGATCTCCTTATTTTTGGCAAAGTTGATGCTTCTAATTGCCAGGTTTTATGCAATCTGATTGAGGCTTTCTCTATAGCTTCGGGTCTTGAGATTAATTATCAGAAAAGCACACTCTTGCTTTCCAAACACTGTCAGAATCCTGAAGAGATCAGATCTTCTCTTCAAATCCCCTCTACATCCACTTCTATTGCTTATCTTGGGATTCCAATTTCACCTTACAATTCAAAAATTGCTGATTTCTCTAAACTGATGGAGTCTGTCACTCAAAAGTTATCTGGTTGGAAAGCCAAGGCTCTCTCTTTTACTGGTCGCCTGCAATATATTAGATTCACTATTTGGAATTCCATTGCCTATTGGATTCGAGGTTCGATTATACCAAAGACTATTATTAAGCAAATTGAGAAATTATGTGCCAAATTTCTTTTCTTTGGGGACATTAAGGCAACCAAATTGCATCTTATTTCTTGGAAAGAAACCTGTAAGCCCAAAGCATTAAGGGGGCTTGGGATTCAGTCTATACACTCTTTGCAATTTAGTTTTAATTGTTCTCTTATTAAGAGGTTGTACAACTTCAACAGTCCTCTTGCTTCTTGGTTTTTTTATAAGTATGTCTCGCCATGGAAGCCTCACTCGGTTAAGGACTCTAAATTCTGGAAGAATGTTTGCATTACTGCTCTTAAAGCTAAAGAGAAATTCATTTTTAATCCTTCTAGTAATGGTCCCATTGCGTTATTCTGGGATCACTGGTGCAACCGTGCCCTTATTTTGGACATTGCTGGCTGGAGTGAGTTGTTCAATTTTTTTCCTAGTAATGCTCGGTTGTCTGCTATGAAAAATGAATATGGGTGGAATCTGCCTACCACGTATTCTGATGCTTTGCTTCCTGCTGTTGAAGGAAATGAGGGAACCAATGCTGATTGTCTTATTTGGGAAGGAGGAACTGATAACTCTCACAGCAAATATTATAATTTTCTTTACAATAGTGAGCCTCGGTGTAATTGGGATCATTTTATATGGCATAAACATTATTGTCTCAGATTTTCTTCCTTTAGTTGGATGGCTTTAAAGGGTGGTCTCAAAACAGCGGATGTGCTATGCTCTAGAGGGATTTTGGTGCCTAATACCTGCTCTCTTTGTCATAATCAATTAGAGACTATTTCACACCTATTCTTTGAGTGTGAATACTCCTTTTTAGTTATCTCTAATCTTATTCCAAGTATGAGGCAGCAATTTTTAAGGCCTAATATCCTACAAGCTTTTGAATGCCTTAATCATCATTCTAGAGATTTAAAGCAATTTTACTACCTTATTATTTGCTGTGCTATTTATCATCTTTGGAGAGAAAGGAATGATAGGAAATTCGGCAATGCATCTTCCTCTTCTTCTTCTTTATGTCTCAAAATTAAAGGTGTTGTGCTTACTAAATTACTGAGATGGAAAATTGGTTATGCCTTAATGGAGCTGCTTTGATGGCTGGCTGTTATTGGTTATATCGGGACTGTTCTGGGAGGTTTTTTGTTCAGCTGAGGTTGATGTTTCTGTTGAATTCTGCTGTTATTTGGCCTTGGCTGAAGGCTTCTTTTGGTCGGCTGGATTATTCGGATCATATCCTTGGTTTCCTCTTTTGGGAGCTAGGAAAGCTGCTTCGGGCCCTGAGGGTATTATTGGGGACGATGATGACTACTGTTGGACCTTGTTCCCCTTGGAGGGTCATTCTTCGGCAACCAGGGGATTTTTTGGAGGCTTTTCATTCAACGGGTTTATGCTGGTTCAGCAGCCTGAGTCCTCAAAATTCAAATTCAAATTCAAAGATCAAGATCTCACGTTCGGATTGCTTCACTTACCACGTTTTTGTGCTTTTTAAATCTTTTTTGTAGGTATTGGGTGGTATAGTTGTGGTTTTTTGTGGCCTGCATAAGGTTTTTTTGTTTGCCTTATGTAGGCTTTGCTTCCTTTTTTTACAGTCTTTACTTGTAACCTTTTCCTTTCTTAATAGTTGAAGGGCTTTCGCTCCAAAATTTCCCAAAAAAAAATAAACTAGTATTATTTGTAAATTGAATTCGCTAAATAAATTTATTATTTTTTTAAAGCTACTAAGGTCGCTGCACCGGTGCCGGGGTACAGTGTTAAATAGTCAAGGGTGTCAGAGGAATTATACTCGGTTGATAGTGGTATGAGAGTTGCAATCACGTGCAACATGCATCAGAGGGATCATAGTCAGGCAAAAAAGTCAAAAGTATTGTAGTTGGGCAACGAAGGTCAAATGGAATGTAGTTGGATGACAATGGCCTGAGGACTATAGTCATGTGACTTTGTACGAAGGGATTATTGTCAGGGATCATTGGTCTGAAGACCGTAATCTATGAGTAACAGAGGTCAAATTGTTTGTAGTCAGGCAACTGAGGTTAAAGGGACTATAGTCAACGAGCGGTTAAGGTAAGAAGGATTGTAATCAATATGAGACAAAGGTTAGAGTGATTGTTGTCATCCAAAAGTGGTCAAATGGACCATAGTTGGCAAGCTAGCTATAGTGGTTGAAAGGGTCATAGTCAGCCGGCAACGACGGTTGGAAGGATTGTAGTTAAGTGGCTGTGATCGAAAGGGTTGTAGTCTGTAGGTGATGAAAGGTCAGAAAGATCATAATCAGCATATAACGAAAGTTTGAAATATCATAATCGACAGGAGATGGATGTTATAGTAGTCGTAATAGGGAAATAATGGTCTAATGATTATAGTTGAAAGGACTATAGTTGAGCGATGATGGCTTGAGGAATCGTAGTCAAGTAGTGGTGTGTTACGTCCCAATATCTAAATTAAAAGAATTGTCTATTTTACCTTTTTAATCACTTATTTGAGCTTCTATAAATTATCTATGTAACTCAATATCTAGGAAAAAAAATTAAATATCACACAACAAAAAATATTTCACTATATTCATTCACTAAAATCATATATTTACAATGACTAGGAGATCACTAACAATCACTAATATATCAATATATCCTAATTATAAGAGAATACAAGATAATATAAAATGAAATTAAAAGAATAACATGAGGATCTCAATCAATCTTACTCTACACAGCCTTCACCCCTTATGTGCCCGAAATTAGTAAATCACATGATGAGCTTTGCTAGCAGAAATCCAATATCGCTAAAACATTCAATACAAAAATGTAAGAAATAAATATATATGCTCAACTCAATCAATAGAATCAGTAGCACTCAACATCATTAATGATCTGCCAAAATCCTACAATTGAATTTAAAGCATGAAAAAAAAATATGTATATTAGCAATCAAACAATAACAATAGTATTCATATGATCATTAAATCAGTGTATAAATAATAAAATTTACATATAGTAACAATATAATTTGTAAGGAATAAAATAGTACGGTGCATAAGTCAATAAAATAGTACAATAGAATACCAATAAACCAATACAAGTGATCAACCGATAAAGCAGTCATTGTATTAATTTTAGTAATCATTAAAGAAATCATATAAAGCGATAAAATAAATTTATTAGTAAAACTATCAAAATCATATCAATACAGTAAAATCCTATAATTCTATTTAATTATTCTTTAGCAATATCAAATTAGTATCTTAATCACATATTAAGTATATCACGTACTAAGTATGTCACATGCTCAATATTAATACAACAAATCAATAACAATAACAATAACAACAATAGTATCAATAATAATATTAATGTTTTTATTGATATAAAAAAAATTAAGTGGCCATAGTATTAATGTAATGCAATAATACTAAATTCATATAATGACTCCTAAAATATTATTTAAAAGAGTCAATATGCGCACACACACATAACAAAAATGATTTGCAAATAATTAAGATTTATAATGACTCTTAAAATATTATTTGAATGGGTCAAAATATGGACTATTATAGTCTCCATAACTTAGAAATTTGTCGCCCTCAATGTTTCTTAAGCATTAATCACATCATTTATCAATAAAATCCACTCAGGTGTGCATGTCTATTAATATATCTGCCAATCATTCAATTATATGAATGAAAATTAATTAATTTTAAAGCATTTCAATAGGAAATGATAAGAAATATACTTATAGAGACACTAAGAAATATAAAATACTACAATGATAACATTTTACATATCTTTGTTGTAGACTCACTTACACAACTAAACAATAAAACATAAAATGTCATTAAGATCCTAATATGCGCTTCTACTTTCTCTTTGCACTTTTCTGTAACAAAAGCAAGTAATCCAGTATTAATTTGGTGAGCTATGAAACTAATGGAGTCATGCAATTCTAATAAAGAAAATCAATGAAATATTATAGTGAATAATATAATAAAAGTCATGACTTAAACTAAACTTATAAAATAATTGCAAAATAATTTCAAAAATATTCAAATTCATCTTTTTGAAGCATGTGTATAATATCATAATTAGTCATCTCAATTTTCTAGCCACTATTTTATATATAGTTAGCTTTTATAGCTTTCGTCATAATATTGAATAGAGCCCATATGAGCTTGGCATTATCACCATTGGACTACATTAAGGCCAATTTTGCTTACTTATGAGTCATTTTTTTCTCACACGCACATGTATCATATCATTTCATTATCAACATTTACTAATATGCTATGTATTAGACTTCAACTTATGAACTCATACTTGACTTTTCATAATTAATTAATTAATATAAAACATATTTCTACTATAAGGCTTGCATCAAAAGAATAATTAAGCATAACATAACTTAATACTTTTCTTTTCAAAAAGATACCGAATTAAAAAAAAAAATTATGTAATCATATTATATCATATTTTAAGATTTAATTATTCAAATATGCATGTAATCGTTCATACATGAATACTTATCTCTAAACTCTCAACAAAATGATTACATTAATGAATTTTTCCCTTCAATTAATTCCAACATAATCGTATATGCCTAGCTAGAATTAACAATATTTGCGTTTAAAATTAAAATTACATTTCTTACCTTTTGTGATGAGTTGCCTCCTCAAATTCGACACCTCATATAATTTTTCTTTTGCAAATTACATACACAATTCATCTCTCTATTTCTAAAATTTTTATAGATCATTAAATTAAGTCAATAAATTAATAAAATCAATTTATCCTAAAATAACTCTTTACTTCATAACAATTATAATTGTTGCGTGCTAGAATATATGCGGCGGTAAAGTTAGAAAATATTCGTCTTCGCGTTGCACGAGTATTCAGCACACAAACAGAAAAGAGAATGAACACCAGAGTTTTTACGTGGAAAAACCCAAAAAGGGAAAAAACCACGGGGCCTCGCCCAGTCGTAAAATTTCCACTAGCGTTCGTTTGAAGTACAAAGACCGATTCGTCTCACAAGTCGAGACGATTAGTTTACAATCAGCGTCTAATGAAGTTACAAGGTTATGCAAAGTCCCGGCGTTTTCCGAAAATCCGGCAGAGTTCTGACGTATTCAGGCGGCGGAAGAGCTCCGACGGTGGTCGAGGAGGAGAGGATTCACCTTTCCTCTTTTGCTTCTTCTTCTCTCTCTTCACTTGAGTCACCTTTGTGTAGAATGAGGGCTCTATTTATAGTTTTTCTGAAGTGGCATAACTCGTAAATAGGTGTGAGATCGTGGGCGAATAGGAGTGGTTTGAATGGACGGCCGATGTTGAACCATTCGATCGTGCACCGTTCGTTGGACATTTGGAGGCCTTAATGATGTCGGAATTCGGTGATATTGGGCTCGTTGGATTCGTCTCGTCGAGCCGCTTGATTCGAGTATAAGCTCATTAAAATCGGAGATCGTTTGGTAACTCAAATTGCGGTTTGAACGTTTCAACGGTGCTTTGGGTCCTTGATCCGGAGTCATTTGGGCTCGGATTGGGTTGAATTTGGTGTCTTTGGGTTCGTATTTCCGAGACGCTCAGTTTGACTATAAGTTTGCTGAAATCGGAGTTCATATGCTCCTGAATTTGATTTTTGAAGTTTCCAACTATATTTTTGCATTGAGATTCGTGCCCGATCAAGATAATTTTCTGAAACCGTATCAATAATCGTTATAAAACAACAATATTGCTGACCTCTTTCTTTTTTTTTCTTCTTTCCTAAATTTCTCACGCAAAACACATAAAACTGAACTCACGCCAACCCTCGCAGTCGTCTGATTGCGTCACCAGCCATTGCATGCACCTTTTACGGGGAGTAGAAATTACTTAATTTAATTTAATATATTAATTAGTATTTTTGTTGCAGATTAGTTAACATTAATTAACTGTTAATATTAATCTTAAAAGTCTTTAGTATTAAAATTTAAAAATACAAAATTATTGGAATTTTCATAAAAAATAATATTTTATGACATAATTTAATTAAGCAAAATATTGAAATTTTACCTAAAAATTTGTTAAGTAATACACTCTTGTATGTATTATGGACCATTTATGGTTCTTCTCCTAACATCTGTAAATCTACATCTTCTCTTCTTATTGCTCTCTTATAGTCACCTCTTCAACTTCTCATTTCATCCTCATGTTCTCTTAACTAGCTAGAAAATAATCAAATTATTTTCTGCAAGCCGTGCTCTCTCAACCAACTAGGAGAATTTTTGAATCTTCAGTGGGACGAAGCGGATGTATCAAGTTATTTTTCAATCCTATGAGAAATCTATAGCATTTTTATACCGCTTCACTAATCAACTTTAAGGGTACCTTAATCATGCAATCAATTTAGCGTCAGACTGCATTATTATTTTGTTCTATACTATAATCTCATGAAAGCCTCCATTATCTATTGTCAAGCTAATTGAAGTACAAACTAATCTATGAATGACTAATAAATTCTATTTAGGTAATATTTGCATTCATATTTCCCTAAAATTTCTCCTGCTACTGTTCTATCCACCATTTCTCAAGTTCTTCTTTAAATTGAAATACTATAAGTGGTACTTTCATATTATCTGAATACAACATGTTGCCAAATATATTCTCTATCATTAATAATCAATCTTCTAGTAGTTGTGGCTCTAGAACTCCCTTGAATAATAGAGGTTTCAACTTGTGGAGCATATGCAAATATTTATCATCTTCAGTCTCTTTGCTCCTAATTTGTCTGTTATGTGCATTACTCATCATCTATGCTATTAGGATTACAATCTGTATCATACTATTATAACTCATTGAGTCAACTGCATTCTATTCATTGGGTCACCTGGGTTCATGCTTGACCAATAGTCAACCTCCTCTGACCGTGATCTTGGTTAGGCAAAATTATCAAAATATTTGTGTTAATTACTTTTGGAGTTAAATTTTACTATGTAAACACATATTTATATAATCATGTTAATATAAAAAGAACATTATATTAAAAAATATGTTAGAAAAAAAGATTAAAAAAATTATTATATTTTGTATGATATGAACAATAATTTACTCCCATACCATAAAATTTTTATATATTTATATTTTAATCTTTATTTATGTAACTTCTTAATATTTATATATGTTTTATTTAAAATAAGATAGTATCATTAATATACTTTATAAATGAGAGCAATAATAAACATAATATTTAGTATTAAATGCATACATACAAGATATGTATGTTAATGTTATTCTCCGTAATAATATTAAAAATATGACGACATTAAATAAACGTGCCTCACAAATATTTTCAACCCTAAAAAAATCCTCCAAGCCTGCCCTCCATCCCTCGAGAAATTATTAGGTGCGGATTGCAGACGGGGAGAACCGCCAGCATACTAGTATAAAATACAGCTAGGTACCATTCGGTACCGCTGGATACCACTAGATACCGTTTGGTACCCTGTGTGTGTGCAGACGGTACTCCCCCGACTGCACTCCCCACCTAATAATTTTTCCCATCCCTCCCTGTCCTCACCATCACCTTTTTAATCTCTTCAGTCCTCACGCAAATTCCCTATCCCTTCCCTTAAGCTCTATCTGAAAATGAGCCCTTTTCTTCCCAATGCTACCATACTCCTACTCGCCGCCATCATCTCAACCGCCGCCGCCGCCGTCACACCTTCTCACACATTCCTCCGCTCCTCCTGCGTCTCCGCCCGCCATCCTGAGCTCTGCATCTCCTCCATCGCCGCCTCCGCCTCCCTTCTCCATTCCATTTCCTCCTCTAAAGACGTAATACACGCCTCCCTAAACCTCACCCTCGCCGCCGTCCGCCGCTCCATCGCCGGAGCCAAAATCATCTCCGCCCGACCAAGTCTCACCTCCCGCGAACGCGCCGCCGTTCAAGACTGTCTCGAGATGTTCGACGAAACGCTCGACGAGCTCCGTCGCGCCGACGCCGATCTCCGATCTTACTCGCCGGGCTTTGCAAGCTCCAAATCACTCTCCCGCCATGCCGCCGACCTGAAGATCATGATCAGCGGTGCCATTACCAACCAGGTGAGACCGTGAGACTGTAAATTGAAAAAAAAAATTGTAGAATTGTTTGATCTGATTCGTTAGCTGCCAAGCCAAGACGAGAACGACCTAAACTTTACTTGTGGGCCGAAAATTTATGTTTTTGTTGGGGTGTTTTTTACCGAGCTGAAAACTAGGTACGTAACCATTAATTAAATTAATTATTCTCATGATTTTTTATAGTATTTTTAAATATGATAAAATTTAAAATATTGTTGACCATGAGAATTTATTATTATTTAAAAATATAATTTATAGTTATTTTTAAATATCATATTAAAAATATAATTTCCAATCAGGAGTCCTGCGCCGACGGCTTCTCACACGCCAGCGATGACCGCCGGCTTCGGTTGGGGATCCTTCGAGGGCTTACCTACATCGAGCGCATGTGCGAAAACGCTCTCGCCATGATAAGGAATATGACGGACGGCGACATGGCGGCGGCGGCGGCGACAGAGGGGCGGAAGTTAGCGAGCCGTCATGATGGATTTCCGGAATGGATGACGGCGAGGGACAGGCAGCAGCTTCAGTCAGCGGACACGACGGCAGATTTGACGGTGGCGGTGGACGGGAGCGGGAATTTTAGAACCATTACGGAAGCGGTGGCGGCGGCGCCGGTGAAGAGCAAGCGAAGATTTGTCATAAAAATAAAGGCCGGGGTTTACGCGGAGAACGTGGAGGTGCCGAAGAATAAGACGAATATAATGTTTGTTGGGGATGGGAGGACGAAGACGGTGATCACCGGAAGCCGGAATGTCGTCGACGGCTGGACCACCTTCCGTTCCGCCACCTTAGGTTTGCTCTCTTATGCTCTTTTACTAATTAATTAACATTTATTTCTAAACCAAGATGATTAAATCACCCTTATATTATTTAATTCAATTTAAAAATGTAACTAGTACAATTGTTTAAGCAATTATTCAGATCTTCACAAAATTTTTTCGGATATTCATTGATTAAATTATCTGATAATTGGATTTTTGAACAAAGCTCACAACTTTCTCTTTGCTATTTTTTTACTTTTCAAATATTTTTTTAAGATTTATAATTTTAGATTTGAGCCACATAGTATAACTCTATATTTAGTTCTCCCACATGATAATTTCTCCTTTGGAAGTCTTTCTTAAATAATTAATTTAAGTAAAAAATATTTAAATAAAAAAAATTTAACAGAAAAAATTTGCTTTAAAAAATAATAGAAAAGCTGTATCAAATGAAATCTTAGGCTTCGTTTGAGAATAAATTATTATGTCGATTGATGTATATTTATGAAGTATTTATTGAGTATTTACAAATACTTAATAATTATACAATAAATAAGCAAATACTTACAAAATACTCAATGAATATTAACAAAATACTCAACAAATACTTACAAGATACCATTAATACTCACAGCTGAGTATTTTTATGAATAATTTTTCTCGATTGGAATAATTTTTTTATTACTTCTTAAAATAATTATTTAATATAAAATTATTTAAAAAAATAATAATAATAAAAACAATTCCAAGTCAAAGCCTAATGTTATATTTTTTAAAAGGTTGTCTGTTTTTTTGTTGAAATGTTGGCGTAATTAGCGGAACGGTACGCTTGAGTTGCACTGTTAAAGATAATAATGCCAATGCCCCATCCACAAGTCCTCACCAGCTTTTACGTCCATTAATTATATGATCTTCACCACTCTAAGACGTATTAATTCTTGACAATCGGTCCATTCTTTCATGAGCATTTAATATGCATTACGGATTTTGGGCTTAAATCATTGAGTATTTCCCAATATAAAATACATGATTTTCTAAAAATAAATATCTATTAATAATAAAAAGCTGGAGTTTGACTCAAGAAATAATTGGACATATTTATTATATTTTTTTAAAATTAATCTAAAAATATGTTTAAAGCTAAAAGAGAAGTTTAACAAACTTACAAGTCAAATCAGGTTGAGTTACACAACTTTCCTTGGCCTATTGGTTGAGAGCTTAGGCTTCCAACTAAGAGGTTCAGGGTTCGAGTCCATGTGTATGCGTTATGTGTGTGAGTTTGTCTTAAATAACCTAAATGTCCCCAAAAAAAAGTCAGGTTGAGTTTGAGTATAGGCTCCAATTTGAACTATATCCCCTTGGTTGACAAGCTCGTTTGCTGAGCTTGTTAACGAATGGAATTCGAGCTAGTTCATGGCCCGACTCGGCTCACCAACACAAGTAGGTTGGGATGAGAATTGCAGAAGGATTGTGTTCCATTGATTAAAAAAAAAAGATGTATTTTTTTGGAAGTCATTTAAAATTTTAAATCAGATTAGTGTCAAATTTTAGAAAAATTGCGAATCAGACTGCGCTACATCACTTTTTTCTTGTGTATTGATACCGTGTATCGTTGTGTACCTGGTGACGTGGCGTATTCTGAACCATCTCCGAACGGTCTAAGTGGCACAGAATAATTTCTCCAAAATTCCATTTCAGGTAAAATTTCATAAGAAAACTCACATCATTATTTAGTTAATAGGAATATTTGTGTCTCATCAATAATTGATGAGGATTGCCAATTTTCCCAACGCACATGTGAGGACTATTTCTGATATAAAAGGAGCTTTATGTCGCACAACCAAACAAATCTTGCATGCAAATGTATATACGCTGCTTCTCTCAACATCTTTTGTCCTTACTGGAGCATGAAACACATGCAGCTAGCGTTGTACATCATTTTCGCTGTCTACGAAATTAGCAGCTGCAGCCTGCAGCTTTCTTGAAAGTGTTTTTTTGCGTCGGTGCCTTTTATGCGTCCTTTTGGTATGACTTTTTCATAATTTTTAATATTTTAAAAAGTTTTTATAAAGTGTTCCCAAACGAGTTGCTAGGCAGCTAATATTACTCTGAATATGTCAATTCAACTAACATGACTCACATTCAGCCGCAGTGGGGTCGGGTTTCCTGGCCCGCGATCTCCGCATCGAGAACACAGCCGGCCCATCAAAGCACCAAGCCGTGGCACTCCGGGTCGGGTCCGACCTCTCCGCCTTCTACAACTGCGTCATCATCGCCCACCAAGACACCCTCTACGTCCACTCCCTTCGTCAGTTCTTCCGCTCCTGTCTGATCCAAGGCACCGTCGATTTCATCTTCGGCAACGCCGCCGCCGTCTTCCAAGACTGCGATATCCAGGCCCGGCGACCCGGCTTGAACCAGAAGAACATGGTGACGGCCCAAGGCCGCTCCGACCCGAACGAACCCACGGGCATCGTCCTCCAATCCTGCCGCATCACCGCCACCGACGACCTGGAGGCGGCCAAGGGTTCCTTCCCCAGCTACCTCGGCAGGCCGTGGAAGGAGTATTCTAGGACGGTGGTGCTGCGGTCGGAGATCGGCGATTTTATACGGCCGGAAGGTTGGCACGAGTGGAATTTGGATTTCGGGCTTGACACGTTGTATTATGGGGAGTATGAGAACACTGGGCCGGGCGCGGGGACGGTCCGTCGGGTCGACTGGAAGGGGTATAAGGTGATTACTGATGCGGGGGAGGCGCAGCAGTTTACGGTGGGGAACTTTCTTGAGGGATCTGATTGGTTGGGAGCGACGGGCTTTCCCTTCTCATTGGGTCTCTGATCCACCGTTTAATGAATATATTTATGCGACTTTAGTTATGGGAGAGATTTGCGAGCTCTTGCTATTTGTAATAAAAAGTTCTTTAGTATTTATATATGTTTGTTTTTTATAAAAGAATATTAACATAAAAATAAATTAAATATGCTTTAAAATTTTATTTGGAATAAACAAACAGAGAAAAAAAGATAAATATGTATAGGAAAGGATCGAAGAAGTGGTAAAATGTAAGATAATAAAATAATTTAAAAGATTTTGGATATATCATTATAAATAAATTTATTATTAAAATCCAAATTTACAACTCAATCAATCTATTGCAAATTAACATCATATAATAAGACCTAAATCATGATTAAAAGATTTTTGTGCATCTTACTTTCCCAAGTTTGCTGTTTAGCAATAGTTTTTTTTGTTAGTGTAACTGACACGTCAGCAATACACTTTACTTGTCTTTATTAATGCTTGTTCTTTGTATTTACATTTGTGTCTGTCTGCTATATATAGCAATAGTGTCCTGTAATACGTTTAGATAAATTCCATTTTCAGTTTTCATCTGCTCTCTTCGTCTTGTCCCTTTCGTTATCATGGTATCAGAGCCACATCGAGCTTAGGCATCTCCGGTCATCTTTCTCATGGCCGATCAAGCCTCCACCACCTCCAATCAAGAAATCTCAAACATCTCTTCCTCTCTTGAAGATTTCGTTGTTCCCAACCCTCTCAAGTTCCTCATCTCTAATCTCAAGAACCTCGTTCCCACCATTCTCACCAGCGATAATTACTCGATTTGGCTCCTTCAAATGTATCAGCATTTCACTGCAAATGGTTTCAGCGGTCATCTCACAGGTACCTCTACCTGTCCGCCCGCTTCAGCGGCCAACGACCACAAACTCTGGAAACTCATCGACATAAATCTCATCTCGGCGCTTCTTTCCACTATCTCAGCCTAGGTAATCCCTTATGTCATAACTCTTTCCACAACTCATGAGATCTGGGTGGCTCTTGAAACTAGGTTGCAGCAAATGAATCATTCTCGAGTTATCCAACTTAAGAATGAACTTCATCAAATTCAGATGAAAGAAAGTTCGATGCAACAATACTTGACTCAAATCAAGAACCTCGTCGATAATATTGCAGCCGCCGGCTCAAAGCTCGACACCAAAGACATTATCTTATACATCTTGAACGGTCTTCCGTCTACCTACAATTCTTTCAAAACTGCCATAAGAACTTCGTTAAATCCAATCTCTCTGGATGTTCTTTATTCGCTGCTATGCAGCGAAGAAATCAACATCAAACAAGAACAGTCTCGTGAAGTGCATTCCGCTTCAGATAACATGGCTCTACTAACCGTTCGGAATAAATCGTCCAGAAGTCGATTTAATCGATCCCAACAACGTCAATCGAATCCTCGTCCCACTTTCAACAACGACAACCAAACTTCAAGGAACAATGCGTCTCAACCCCGACCGATATGCCAGATCTGTGGAAAGACCGGACACACCGCAGTCAACTATTGGCATAGATGCAATCTTCAGTACGCATCATCCTCCTCGACGACACCTAGAGCCTTGTTTTCTCAACAGCAAGGCACGCCGTCCACCACTCATTGGATTCTTGACTCCGGTGCATCAGCTCATTTGACACCGGACGCTTCCAGCATGAGCAACGTCAATCCCTACAGCGGTCTTGACTCTGTCTCGATCGTTAACGGCATCAACATCTCTATCCAGAACACCAGACAAGGAATTCTTCCGCTACAGGAGACGACTCATAAGCTAATTCTTCGAGATATCCTTCACGTTCATTCTATCTCTCACAATTTATTATCTATTTCTAAGCTTACAACATATAACAATATCTCAATTCTTTTTGATGCAAATGGTTTTGTAATTAAGGACACCAAGGACAATCTACCTCTTCTCCATGGTCGCAAACATGAAGGTCTGTACCGGATTCAGACGACACAGACTATCAAGAACTCGACATTTCACACTTAGCGCAACCCGAGCTTCCACTGGCATGATAGGTTGGGTCATCCTAATCCAAGATTGTTATCCACACTAGTCAAGCACCTTCCAGAATCCTGCAACCCGTTCAAAAACTTTGATATTTGTATTTCTTGTCAAGTTTCCAAAAGTCATAAACTACCATTTTCTAATAGCAATTCTTCTTGTACAAAACCTTTTCAAATCATCCATTCGGATGTTTGGGGACCTGCCCCTTGCCCCTCATTCAATGGATATAGATACTACGTCATTTTCATAAATGAATTTACACGTTTTTCTTGGCTATATTTGATTACTACTAAAGCAGAAACGTTTACTAAATTTTAGCATTTCTATAACCTTATTTGCAATAATTTTCATAGCAGCATACAAACTCTCCGCTCTGATGGCGGCGGTGAATTTCTTAGCAAACAATTCACCGAGTATCTTCTCCACAAAGGAATCAATCGGCAGTTGAGTTGTCCTCATACCCCCGAATAAAATGGGATGTCCGAAAGAAAGCATAGACATTTGATCAAAATCACTAGAACCCTCATGCATGCCGCAAGCTTACCTCTTAGTTTTTGGGCCGAATCCTTGTCCACAGCACACTACCTTATTAACAGGTTACCTTCTGCGGCTACCACACCCCACAACCCTTACTACAATCTCTACGGTCAACATCCCTCTTACACGCACCTCCGCAAGTTTGGATGTTTGTGCTTTCCCTGGCTCAAGCCTTACGCTCCAAACAAACTCGCGCCTCGCTGTCAAGAGTGTGTTTTTCTGGGCTACTCAACCCAACACAAAGGATATCGTTGTCTTAATCTTAAAACCAATCGTGTTCACATCTCTCGTCACGTTATTTTCCATGAAAACATATTCCCTCTCAAAAATCAAACACCTGTACCATCTTCTCCTACACCCGAACTCTCTCACTTGCCCCTGCTTCTCATTCCAGTCTCTGCCAAGTCACCTACATCGGTACACAATACCACCATCCCTGAGTCTCACAATCAGCATAATAACACAGGTCCCATACTTCAATCACCTACCCCCACCCTCACCCCTGCACCTCACAATAGTTCCCATGATGTTCAACCTCCTGTAAGGCATCATCCTATGCAAACTCGGTTTATGTCTGGTATTTCTAAGCCAAGGAGATATGTTGATCTATCTGCTATCTGTTAACCCAAGGCTACACTAACTTCGTTTAACCAAGCTAACCAAAGCGAAAAATGGAGATATGCTATAACTACTGAATTTAAAGCCCTTCAGAAACAACATACCTAGTCTCTTATTCCCCGTCCTTCAAACCATCCAATTCTAGGATGTCGGTGGACTTACCGAATCAAGAAAAATTCCAATGGGAAAGTAGCTCAGTACAGGTACGCCTAGTGGCCCAAGGATGTACTCAAGAATACGGAATCAATTACACGGATACATTTAGTCCCGTCGCTAAAATGACTACCATTCGGGTACTGATAACCCTTGCTCTTCACAAGAATTGGCCTATTCTACAACTTGACGTGTCCAACGCTTTTTTACACGAAGATCTCCACGACAACGTTTACATGCGGCATTCACCTGGTTTCTCCGACTCTCAACACCCCAGCACGTGTGCAAGCTTTAGAAGTCCATATACGGTCTTAAGCAATCCCCTAGACTTTGGTTTACAAAAATTACTACATTCTTGCAAAATTTTGGTTTTAATTTCAGCAAACTGACCCATCTATGCTCATTTATTCCAAAGACAATATTAGCTTATTTGTGTTGATTTATGTTGATGACATTTTGGTGACAGGCAATAACAAATCTGTTATTGATAAACTTCTAAATCAGTTACACGTCAACTTTAGTCTCAAACAACTAGGAGACATTTCTTTGTTTTAGGAATACAGGTCTCCAGAACTTCAAACGGTTTTTTTCTCAATCAACAACAATACGCTCAACAACTGCTTCTCTCCACCGGCTTTGCAATGTGCAAGCCCGCTTCCACTCCAATGTCTATGAAGCGGTCTACCAAGGAACCGAATACCACACTATTCTCCGATCCGCATCTTTACCGGAAACTCGCAGGTTCGTTTCAATATTTGTCTATAACTAGACCTGATATTGCGTTCACTACTAACTATATCTGTCAACGCATGCATCAACCGACAATCAACGATTACCAAGTCCTCAAAAGATTGCTTTGTTATCTTCAAGGCACCACTCATCTTGGAATTCCAATTGAACCCGACGACCTTCAACTTCGAGCCTTCGTGGACGCGGACTGGGCGTCTGACAGTACAGACCGAAGATCTATTTATGGATACTGTGCCTTCTTAGGAGCTACCATCATTTCCTGGTCAGCTAAAAAGCAGGAAACGGTCGCGAAATCATCAACTGAGGCGGAATATCGTTCCGTCTCCGCTGCCTCTTCAGAAGTGCTGTGGCTCCGACGACTTTTAGCTGAATTTCACATACCACAAACATCCCCAACAACTATTTACTACGACAACACGTCAGCCATTGCTCTCGCTCACAATCCAGTTTTCCATGCTCACACAAAACACATAGAGATCGATTATCACTTCATCATCAATCACATTGCAAAAGGCGACCTCAACATCTCTCACATTAGTTCGATCGATCAGATTGCTGACATTTTGACCAAACCACTACCGGAAGATCGTTTTATTCTCCTTAGACACAAACTAACCATCTGCTCTAAAGAAGCTTAGTTTGAGGGGGCATGTTAGTGTAACTGACACGTCAGCAATACACTTTACTAGTCTTTATTAATTCTTGTTCTTTGTATTTACATTTGTGTTTGTCTGCTATATATAACAATAGTGTCCTGTAATACGTTTAGATAAATTCTATTTTCAGTTTTCATCTGCTCTCTTCGTCTTGTCCCTTTCGTTATCATTTTTAGGGGTGTAAAAAAGGGTCAATAGAGTAGGTTTGGATTTGACCTGAAATTGACCCAAATTCAGTCAATCAAAGCCCATCTTGTTTAATCAAAAAGTCCAAATTTTGAATTTGAACCCAACTAGAATCCAACCCAATAACCCATTTTAATTTTTAAAAATTTTTATTAGATTATTAATCATATATATTGGTTAGTTGATTTAAAAAATTCTACAAATAAATAAAAAAATTATTAAATTAGTCATGTTTGCATCAAAATTGATTTTGTGGGTCAATTTGAACTCAACCCGCGTGGCTTTCTCGACCAACTATTACTTTATTAACATAATGTTCAATATTTTTAATCATAAATAATTATTCTCATTTTTTTTTCACCTTGACTACTTTTAATATATAAATTTTTTAAGCTAAATTTTTTTTACTAAAAATTTATTTAAAAAAGCAATAAAAAAATTGCTCGGAATGATACACTAATTTTTGGAATGGCACAAACTTAGGTCAATATCAATGTTGGTTTGTTATTCATGTTGTGATAGAATGATAGTTGCCTCGAAGATATTTTAATTTATTTTGTTAATATTTTAATATAACTTTTATATTTTAATGTATTACCAATATATTATTATTATTTTTAATTTAAGGAGATTGAGTTCTATAACAACTTCCTCAGTCACCTAATTTAAACTTATTTGAAGCGGCTCGACGAGACAAATCCAACGAGACCAATATCACCAAATTCTGACATCATTAAGACCTTCAACTGTTTGATGAACGGTGCACGATGAAGGGATTCATTATCAACCGTCCATTTGACCACTCCCTATTTGCCCATGATCTCACACCTATTTACAAGCTATGCCACTCCATAAAATCTATAAATAGACCCCTCATTTCTCATGAGAGAGGACCCAAGCAAGAAGAAGTGAAGAAGAAGATGAGAAGAAGAGGAGAAGAGAAGAATAGGAGGGAAGAGACTCCTCCTCGACCATCGCTGGAGTTCCGCTCGAACTCAAAATGACGCCAAAATTCTATCCGACTTTTATAGCACGCTGAAATTTTGCCCAAGTAACGACAAAGTTCCCTCTGAAGCCAAAACTCCACCCAAGTGATGCCGGAGTTCTCCTCGGCTACCAAAAGACATCGGACTTCTACCCTACGCCGAACATTCACTCATCGCCAAGTTTTTACCATACGTTGGACTTCTATAGGTTATTGTACTTTTGTTGGACGTCTATCCGAATATGGATTTCTTTCCATTGTTGGACTTCTACCTGACGCCATCCTTCCGACCTCATTCGCCCGCTGATTACGATCCTTTTGACTTACGTCGCCTACCGACTACAGTTCTTCCGACCTCCGTCGTCAGTCGACTATGATCCTTCTAACTTACATCGTCCACCGACCACAATCATTTTGGTTTCCGTTGTCAGCCGACAATGGTCTTCCTGACTTACGTCTCCTGTCGACTATAGTCTTTCCGACCTTTGTCGCTCGTCGACTACGGTCATTCTAACTTACGTCGCCTACCGATTACAGTCATTCCAACCTCCGTCGCCAGCCGACTACGGTCCTCCTAACTTACGTCGTCCGCATACTATAGTCTTTTTGACCTCCGTCGCCAGACAACGGTCTTTATGACTTCCGTCGCCCGCCGACTACGATTCTTTTGACCCCCGTCACCAGACTATGGTCCTCCCGACCAAACCAACATGTTAATAGTGACTATTTGTATTCACATCATGTAATGTACTCTATAAAATGTACATCAAGCTAAGGCCTTTTCCCAAGAAAAGGCCTCATTTGTAATCAACTATTATACCAGTGGATTTATTCGAATTGGGCTAGGCCCCGTGGTTTTTTTCCCCTTTTCAGGGGTCTTCCATGTAAAAATCTTGGTGTCTTTTATAAATGCAACAGCCTTTCTCTTATCTGATTGCGTGCCGGATTTTTGTACAATGCTAATACATTAAACTTTATATTTCTCTATCGCCGCGAATGCTCATGGACGCAACAAAAATATATAATGGGTGAACTACCAAATTTTTTTCATTTAAAAAAAAAGATCCTCTGATTGCGTGCCGGATTTTTGTACAATGCTAATACATTAAACTTTATATTTCTCTATCGCCGCGAATGCTCATGGACGCAACAAAAATATATAATGGGTGAACTACCAAATTTTTATCATTTACAAAAAAAAGATACCAAATAATTTCTTATAGTATATACATATTTAATTTAAATAGATAATCGTAAATAGTTCAACTAATCAGATAAGCTATAAAAAAACGAGAATTGGGTCAATAAATCAAGATATCCAGATTATATGGGTAAATAACTTATTTATCAATACCCGATCAACCTACTTAGTCCTGTAGGATTCGATCAGACGGTCCATATTTCACTGAACTCGCACCACAAAGTACACCCAACTTTGCACCCGTTTTAGCCAGACCCTGCTGCTACAAGGTGAACCTCCCTGGGTATTTCAAGAACCAGTTTGCAACGCATTTCCTTCCGCAACAAGATTCAATGCTTCGTATATAATTGATCCACGATCGACAATGTCCCCAAAAAAAGGTTTTTTTTTTTGGCGCTCTTTCGTCTTGTTTGAATAACTAAAGCGAATTTTTGCAATCTCCTTGCCGCCATCTTTCTTCCGTTCCCTTCTCGGCATGGCGGCTCAACAACAGAAGCGCCAGAAGATGGCGGAGGAGCAGGAGGAAATTGAAGAAATGCAGCATGGACCTTTCCCCATCGAGCAGCTCCAGGTAAAAAAACAAGTAAAGCTGTTTTCCTGCAGAAACCCTAATAAATCTTGATATCCATAGTCGGCCTTTTGAGTTCAGTTGTTTCTGGCAAAAGGTTACTTCTTTAAATCCCAATTAATGATGCATTTTTGTACTTTTTTTTGTCTTTCTATGCTTTTGGTTTCTCATTTTGGATGATGTTGACTCAAAGATTAAGGGTTGAATGTTTTGCTTATTTTTTTAGTGTTTAGATCTAAATCCGGAAGCAATCAAGATTCTTCATTCACGTAATTATATGCCATTTTCTCGTATCAGTCAGAGTGTTCTTCCTTTTTTCTTATGTCGCTACGCGGTTTCCCGCATTAAGTTGGGGATTCATTTTGGGTTGCTTAGGTCTTTCGTATTCTATCTTTAGTTGCTTCATTACAAATCTTGTAAACTAATGAGCCTACCTTTCACCATTTGAATTGTTATTTTAATTTTAAATTTTTGTATTGGTCTTGCCCAAGCATATTATTTGTACAGTAAGTTATGCCTTAATTTATTTATTTATACAGTAAGTTATGCCTTTATTTATCTTATAGTTGTAGTTTTTAGTGATTTATGGATTGATAAAAGATTTATTATCAGGTGAAGAATGTGATGTCCATCAGTGATGGTAATTGTGAGGAAATTGAAATATTTCTTTGACCTACAATAGTTGTTAGAGAATATCAGTAAGAGGTTTTGTGTGTTTGAAAAAAAGTTGGCAAGATGTCATGTGTTTAGCGGCCCCTGATTATAAAATTTAGGTTTAATGGGAATCATTTATGGCATCGGAAACACGAGGCATAATTCATGCCATTTTAAGATGAAAACATAAACGGGATGAATTTTTCAGAGATTTGGGAAGGTTCTTGAATTTATCAATCTCTTATGGATTGAGTTTTTTTATTTATTTATTTATAAAAATAATTCCATAAGACTGACTGGCATGCTCTTTTTGTTCACTTTATTTCCACCATAGTTTAGGGGCTTTTCGTGCTGCTTCTAGCATAGGTTGCTTTTAAAGAAGGCTTTTGCTCTTCTTCATGGAAAGAGTTTGTATTAGAAAGTCCTTTAACTTGGGGCTGGTGGTTGCGATGAATATTTCAGAGGAGAAGTGTGAGCATTATAGTCTTTCCTTACTCAGCTTATGTGAGAGAAAAAAATTTGAGTTAGTCCTGCAAGGAGCTCACTTTTATCCTTCCTTTCATTAGAATTGTTCTGCTTAAGATTTGGACATGAACTTTGGTGAAGTCATTATTGAGTCTTGCAAGGAACTCCATTTTTTCTATAAATTGCTTGTGAATTACTGCATTATCGAAACATGTCATTTTGAGATATTCGTAATAGTATAGTTTAAGCTAATTAACCTTCATTGCATTAACAAACTCAATAACATGAAGGTAACCTTCTTTGATTGTTGATATCTTTGTTTTGAGTATGTTTGTTTGATGACTTCCCAAACTACTTTTGCTGTAGAGAGGAGCATATGACCCTTGATTTCATGCATAATAATATTATACAACCATTTTATGATAATGTAATTTTCTTTATCCTAAAATCCAAAATTTGGATCTTTTAGCTCGTGAGGAGGATCCACAAAATAATGGATCTTTCCTTTCCTTTCTGAAAGGTATTTACAATTTGGGAAAATTTTATATCATTTCTCCCATTTAGGCAATATGAGGCTTGTAGCCCGACGACTCTTGTTTAGTTTGATTTTCACAGTTCATGATGGGCAACCATAGAAGAGAAGTAAAAGAAAAACTTAGCAATGATGAACACAAGAAGTAATCTCCACAAGAAGGTTGAAAAAAAAAGAACAAAATTTGGAAGAAAGTAAAAAACCTCGCTCTAATATCATGCACAAACGTAAAAAAAGTACAAAAAAACTATTTTGACTTTAATTGTTTGATTTTGTAGAAAGTGTGGAAGTAATTATTGATTTTTGTAACATGTTTATATGGAAATAAATCATAGTTGTTTATAAGAAAAAAAAATAAACAAATTTAAGAGAGGTTGGTGGCTATAATAGAAAAAGGAGGTAGATGGATTGCAATCTATGGGCCTTAAGAGTAAATCCAATGATTTGAACTCTTAATCCCTTTGTTTAAAGATCTTAATCATAATTATTTGACTTGTGGGTCTCATGATCCTTAAAAAAAAAAAATCCATAGGGAAGCTGATTTTTGTAAAGATTGTGATAAATGGGTTATTTCTATTATTGAGGTGTTATAATCTTTGCACAAGAATCTAACCTCTAAGCTTGCACCAAGTGAGAAGACCTATAGCATTTGTAAGGGATTAAGTGGGTTTTTAGGAAGAAGGAATTCTTGTGCAAACTTAGAGCAAGGTTGGTGTCTAAAGATTTTTTTACGAAGAGAGCAAGTTGTTTTTGATGAGATATTCTATCAATTGTGAAACTTACTTATAAGTGTCCTACTAAGTTTGGTTTCTCACTTTAATCTAGAATTAGATTAAATAATTTTAAAATTACTTTTTTTGGTGGTCGAACCATAGGAAAGGATTTTTATGGAATTACTTGATGGTTTTGAGTTGCAAGGAATGATGATTGGATGCGTTTACTTCAAAAGGTTATGTGATGTCAAAAACAATCTCCTTGTTAATGGTTCAAGATATTTGATGGTTTAATCATTAATGATGAGAGCAATTGTCAAAGGAGCAAATTTGATAATTATGTCTACCATTAAAAGCTAAATGATGGAAATTTCATCTATCTGCTGTTTTATGTTAATGATATAATTTTGCTGTGTAATTATATGTTTGAATTTGGTAAGCTAAATTTTGAGCTTCAAGCTGAGTTTGAAATAAAGGATCTAGGACACACAAAGAGGATTTAGGGCATAGAAATTTTTAGGAATTGGAAGTCAAGAGCAATGTTTTTTTCACAAGAAAATTATCTTAGGAGGATGCTTGAGAAATTCAACATGGTATGCACAACCTGCTAGCCTCTCTATGGCTGTTCATTTCAAGCTTTTGACCAATTGTTGTCCTAGCACAGAAGAAGACTTAGAATAAATGAATAAAGTTCCCTATCATAGCATGGTGAGAAGCATGATGTATGCTATGGTCTGCATTTGACTAGATATCTCTTATGCAGTAAGTCTAATAAGCAAATATATATGACTAATCCTGTAAAGGAGCATTGGCAAGCCGCCAACTAGGTGCTGAGATATCTAGAAGGATCAACGAAGCATGGAGTAATTTTAATGGTTTTAGTGATTATTAAACTCAGAAAGCTTAGCAGATATAGGATTTTGATTTGAAGGAGATTTTGAAAAGAAGAGCTCATTGACAGGCTATTTGCTTTCTATTTCCTGCAATGTTAGCGTTGGAATGCAACCTTGCAGCACATTGTAGCATTTTTTATAACCGAAGCTGAGTATATGGCAATTAATCGGGTTTGGTGGTTCCAAGGATTGGTCAATGAAATGAGAGTTGAGAATGATTCAATTAGAGTCTTTTGGGATATTTAAAGCGCAATTCACTTGAGCAAAAAATCAATTATTCCATGAAAGGACCAAAGCATATTTGTATCAGGTTTCTGATAGGAAATACTTGAGATACCAATTTGATAGGAAATACTTGAGTTCAAGTATTTCTTAGCCAAATCTGAAGTAAAACGAGAAGAAAACTGCTGTTTTCAGCAGAGGACAGCAGCCAAACACAGGAAAACAGCAAGAAATTACGAGAAAATTGAGAGAAAACTCAAGAAAAGACTTGTATTCCACTTAGACGATGAATAAAATAGCAAGATACATATTAATATTATTATTGTTATTATTATTATTATATAATGTAATATGTAAAAAAAGAGATAAAAAAGAATTTTTAAATAGGTGTCGAAGACCCCGGTCGTCGTACCTTAGGTCCGACCGGGATGGTTTGAAATTGAAGACCTGCGTCGTTGATTTTTAATCCGGGCAGATGGTTTTAAAATTTGAAGACCTCACGCAGTCGATCTTAGATCCTGGTGAGATGGTTTAAATTCGAAGCCCCTACGCCGTTGACCTTAGGTCCGAGTAGGAAGAAACTACGGCAGTGACGTCCCGATTTCTCCCTCGGTGAGGAGGAGACGTTGGGAGGCTGCCGAAATTTTTAGTGAACAACAAAGGACTTGGATAGAAAATTGGAAATTGATTTGAACGAAATTCAAATATAAAATCAATTTTAAATTAAATTTGAACTGAACAAACACAAGTAAACATATACTGTGTGATATACGACGGTTGCAAAGATGCCCTCAAGTCAACATCGTTAACTCCTACAAGTCAATGCTCACATCTACTAGTTGTTGTTGCAGCAAAAGACATGAAATGCTACAATTCGCCTGTGATCAGGAATATGGAATTCGTAGTTCCCACAACAAATAGCCTATAAGAAAAGATAAAGAGCTTGATGGTAACAAATCAGTCCACCTACAGATTGCTATAGTAGACCTATTATGCACCCAACATAAGTTCTACAAGAATATACAAGAATAACTGTCGTAGACATGAACACCTGTTGGCGGTGATAGAAGATTCGTCATAATCACAACAAGCTCCTGCGAGCCACTGTAGAAGACTCATCCTTCCCACTACAAGCATACTACAATTCACCTATGAGGAGGATTAGGAATTTGTAGTGCCCACAATAATAAATTCATTAGCAAGAACAAGATCTTCTAATGTTTATTGGATAGACATTCCTTACAAAATATAGTAAATGATATGACAAGCTTGAATAAATTAAACAACATATCCAAGGCAACAAGTTGCGATGAATGCCAAAACTTGCAAGCAATGATAAAAAGACTTATGATATACACGATAGTCTATCTACAAGTTAAATTGATAACTCTCGAATACTCATGGATAACCCACGAATAGATCCAATAAAAATTTGCAACACACACGCCACCGGATCCGCAACATGTGTACAAGAGGACAGAAGGCGTTCATAGGCCCTTAAATGAAATCTCGAGCTATTTTTTAAGCGAAATCACTTGCGCAATGATTCATGTTTAAATATTTTAAAATTTCCCCATAATGTATTAAATATGATCTCTAAAACTAAAAACACCCTGCATGTGCTCCGACAGACCTATTAAAGTTACAAACATAAATAATCGAGAATACTGCGCAGGATCAAATGCTATAACCTGCATGTGCTCCGATCGTCGCATACAAATCTCAAATCCAATGATTCGAGAATGATGCGCGGGTTAAATATTCAAGTTTTATCCTCCTCAAAAGGATTGGAGTCGGTACGACTTGAATAATAAAATGCCTCTCAAAATCCTATAAAAATACAAATGATTTTAAAATCACCCCGATGATGACCGTGTTGATCGGAAATCTCAACCGGAGGGGTCAAATTTCAAATCTCAAATGTCAAATTTGAAATCTAACAAAAGCACAAATTCTTGAAATAAAATCTATCAACTAAAAACTAAAAGCTAAAAATCATCCACCTCCCGCAACCGTTTGTCGGGGATGATAAATTTGAAATTAACCTCAGCTCACAAAGAGCAAATGTTATGTCGGGTGTATCACTACGATTCATCCTCAAACAGTCTCTTGCCAATAGAGACGTGACACATGCCCTCTGATAGGGTGGTTTTGCCGCAAAATGGCACCATTATATTATAATCACGGCCAAAGCCCGTATGTTCCCTAAAGGCTTCAAACCCTTGAGTTATGAATCATAGGGTATATTCGATAGGCATCAAGCCCTCAGTCAGCTAAGGTGGATTCAGATATATCCCCTTAGACAAACACCAACCCAGGTCTACAAGGTATTCTTGGACGAAGCAACCCATGTCTGCCGACAAAGTACCTTCTGTCAGGTTGGGTCGACTACATCCTCTGACTAAGTAGACCAGGGATCATGACAGCCCGGGACGATGGAACCATGGGATCTTGATCGGGCTCGTCTTCATTCCCCCC